CAGGGTGTCGCGCAAGTCCTCCACACGGTACGGGCGTCCCCGGACATCAGCGTGAAGAAACACGGTGTTGAGCACCGCAGGTCCAGTTGGCAGAGGAGGCAAAATGATCTGATACTCCGAAGACGCAGAGTCATTCGTGTCACCGCGGCCCGACTGGGCCGCTATCGCTGCTCCGGCGGAGCCTGCCAGCCCACGTCCGCACTCGGTGAAAGCCAGAAGTGGAATGCCACGGGCGCTCTGTCTGTTTGGTCAGCTGCGCTCGCGGCATTATTCCCCCCTTTAAAGAAGTGCAAGATGCAGCACAAAACGAAAACAAACAAACAAAAAAACAAAAACAAATCGACAACAAAAAGACAGCAGAATCGCGAGCCGCAGGTCACATTTCACAGTGCACAGGTCACTCGTTGACGAGCGTAAAAAGTTCTATCGTTCGTAATACGGCTTCAGCCGAACGACGTGCACCACCTCGGGTCGCGGCTGATGTCTTGCAGATGGGCGCGTCCCGTCGGGAAGGACTTCGCAGTTCAGATCGCCGAGGCGTCGGATGATCTTGTAGGGTCCGAAATAGCGTTTCGAAAGCTTCTCGCTATGACCGCGGCTCCGTATTGGTGTCCAAACCCATACCCGGTCTCCGGGATAAAAGTGGACGTCCCGGCGACGAAGGTTATAGCGGCGTGCGCCGACTTTCTGTTGGTGATGAATCTTGATTCTTGCCAGTTGTCGAGCTTCTTCCGCGCGCTGCGAGATCAGTTGAGCACCGTCGCTGCCATCGTCGGCCGGCACTTGAGGCAGCTTGGCGCCGAGCATTGTGGTAACCGTCCGGCCGTGTACCAGTTTGAACGGTGTCATTTTCGTGGTTTCTTGAACCGCTGTGTTGTACGCAAATGTAACGTACGGCAACACCTCGTCCCATGTCTTGTGCTCTACGTCGACGTACATGGAAATCATGTCGGCGATCTTCTTGTTGAGCCGCTCCGTTAGCCCGTTGGTCTGCGGATGATAAGCGGTTGTTCGTCAGTGGCTGGTATGACTGAGCAGAAGAACTTTTTGAGTCAGCTGTGCCATGAAGGATGACCCGCGATCTGTAATCAGGACTTCATGTGCGCCGTGTCGAAGGAGAATGGACTCGACAAAAAATTTGGCGACTTCCATGGCTGTTCCCGATGGCAGTGCTTTCGTCTCGGCGTATCGTGTAAGATAATCGGTCGTGACGATAATCCACCGATTTCCTTGCGTCGATGTTGGGAATGGCGCAAGTAAATCCATTCCGACCTGCTGGAAGGGCGTAGTCGGGGCAGGGATCGGCTGCAGGAGTCCTGCTGGCTTCGTCGGAGGCCTCTTATGTCGTTGACACTCATGGCACGACCGTGTGTACAGGTGGACTATTTTCGGGAGCCTCGGCCAGTAGTACTTGTCACGAATCCGTGCCAGCGTCCTGCTGTAGCCAAGGTGTCCAGCCGTCGGGTCGTCATGGCATGCTTGAAACATTTATTCTCGCAGGCTGGCCGGAACAACCAACAGCCAGGCAGGGTTGCTCGTTCCGAAGTTCTCCTTGAAGAGCACGCCTCGCCGCAGAACGAAGCTTGGCAAGTCTCGGGCCAAGACTCGCGGAACTAAACTTCCTTGACCTTCGAGGTGGTCGATCACGGAGCGAAGTTTGGGGTCGTCTCGTTTAAGTGCTCCCATGTCAATATCTGTAATTGCTCCGAGAAAACGGGCGTCATCGTCGTCGTCAGTGCTGTCTGGAGGAGATTCAACTGGGGCCCGAGACAAACAATCGGCGTCATTATGCTTGCGGCCAGACTTGTGCGCAATGGTCACGTCGAATTCTTGCAGTCGAAGGTTCCAGCGAGCGAGGCGTCCTGACCGGTCCTTGAGGTTGGCGAGCCAACAGAGAGCGTGGTGGTCCGTGACAACGCGGTACGGGATCCCGTATAGTTTTGGGCGGAACTTGATTAACAACCACACGACAGCGAGACATTCCTTGTCGGTTGTTGACTAATTTTTCTCTGCCTTGGTCAGTGCCCGGCTTGCGTAAGCGATCTCCCTCTCTGCTCCGTCTTGTCTTTGGACGAGCTCCGCACCTAGCCCGGCGTTGCTGGCGTCTGTGTGAACTTCCGTTTCCGCTGATGGATCGAAGTGTCCCAGCATACGGGGCGACTGGAGTCTTTCGTTCAGTTCGTTGAACGCTTGTTCTTGCTCGTCCCCCTACTGGAGGTTCACGTCGTCCTTCGTCAAATGCGTGAGCGGTGCAGAAATCTTGGCAAAATTGCGAACGAAACGTCTATAGTATGCGCACAGCCCAGCACATCTTCGTACGGCTTTCTTGTCTGACGGCTTCCGAAATTCGGCGACAGCGGATGTCTTTGCAGGGTCAGGACTTACCCCTTCAGTACTCACGACATGGCCCAGGAATTTGAGCTCGCCGCAAGCGAACCGACATTTGAAGGCTTCAGTGTCAGTCCGGCATTCTGGATATCCTGTAGCATGGCTCGCAAGCGTCTCAGGTGCTCGTCGAAGTCGCTGGCAAATACCACGACGTCGTCGAGATAGACGAGACAACTTTGCCATTTCAAGCCGTTAAGAACGGTGTCCATTACGCGCTGGAACGTCGCCGGTGCTGTGCATAGTCCGAACGGCATTACTTTGAATTCGTACACCCCGTAGGGCGTGACGAAGGCAGTCTTTCAAGATCTCGTTCGCCGACCTCGATCTACCAGTAACCACTCTTCAGGTCCATCGACGAAAAGTATCGGACGTGGCGCAGCCGGTCCAGAGTGTCGTCGATGCGTGGCAGCGGGTAAACGTCCTATTATGTTACGGTGTTTAGTCGGCGATATTCCACGCAGAACCGAAGAGTACCGTCTTTCTTTTTCACCAGGACTACAGGTGAAGCCCACGGACTGCTTGAGGGCTGGACAATGTCGTCATCGAGCATTTCTTGGACCTGCCTCTGGATGACATCTCTCTCTTTCACAGAGACACGGTACGGCGACCGATGAACAGGAAGCGCGTTGTCTTCAGTGATAATTCGGTGTTTCGCAACGGTCGTTTGGCGCACCTTTGACGACGTGGAGAATCACCCATTGAACTCGGCGAGAAGGTCACTGAGTTGTCTTCGTTGTGGGGTAGGCAGGGTTGGGTCGATGTCAAACTGCGAAGGCGGCGTTGTCTTGTGTGGCCACGAAGAGAGGTCTTTTGATATTCTCGCGAGGGTCTGAGCGTCGGTCGTCTTCGGCAACTCCACCTCCAGGGATAGCCGCGCCTAGTTTTCCCGGCGAGGAGCAAGGGGTGACAGGCTTTCACGTCGGGGTCGGTGCATCGGCGAAGCTGGACGTCGTGGCGGCGGCGATCGGAACTCTCGGCGGGACGCAGGTTCGTTGGGACTGAGGTCGTCGCAGGTACTCGTCGATCTCCCGAGGGCGTTCACCATAACGAGGGCGTGGGTCATTTGGGTGGAACCCCCACACCCCGAGTCGTCGGTATGGGCATTGGCGGTAGGTGTGGTTTATTTCCCCGCAATGGAAGCACAGAGGGCGTCGGTCGGGCGTTCGCCACACGTCTGTCTTCCGAGGTGCCCGGGCTCTTGGGCGGCGTACTGAACCTGGTCGTTACGGCGGCGGTCGTGCTGCGGCGCAGGAGACTGACGTTGGGGCGGCGCAACGTAGGTTCGAGGAGGAGGCGGTGGCCGTCTGGCCACTGCGGCGTAGGTCAGGGTGGGCTCCTCGGGTGCAGCTACGCTGGCAGGAGCCTCCGGTTGAATTGCCCGCTGAACTTCTTAGCGCACCACTTCGGCTATCCACAGCGAAACCGGCTGGTTGGCAGCGGGCAGCAGCTTCCGGAGCTTCTCCCGGACAACATCTCGAATGACCTCGCGGATGCCCGGAATACTGGAGGCAAGATCGCAGCTAGACGGCGCGAGGACAGCAAGGCCGGGTGGTCGATGGTAGTGGCTGGCTCGGGCTTGCACGGCACGCTCGATGTTCGTCGCCTCAGTGACAAAATCTTTGACTGTTGTCGGAGGGCTACGAACAAGGCCGCCGAAGATGTTGTCTCTCACGCCCCGCATGAGGATTCGAACGTTCTTTTCTTCCGTAGCCTGAGGGTCGGTGCGGGCGCTCAGGCGCAGAACGTCCTCGACGAAGCCGGTGACGCTCTCGTTGGGGCCCTGGGTTCGGGTTTGAAGTAGGTCTCCGGCTCTCTCTCGGCGTTGTTGGTTGAGAAATGTTGCCTTCAGCTGGCTCTTGAAAACATCCCACGATGTCAAAAGAGGCTCGCGATTTTCGTACCAGTACCTGGCAGTCCGTGTGCTAGGAGCTATAGTCATCGCGAGGCGTGAGCCGGAAAAGACGACGATGAAGAGAAGGGAGGGTCGCTCGAGACAGATGATTAAATGGCTGATTCTAAACGGACGCTGGTTGAGTCCTGAGTTCCTGAGGCCCTGACAACACATGGTGTCAGAAGTGCGCCAAGGCGATATCGCCGGAGTAGGAGCTACGCGAGCAATGGCCACGTCCAGCTTCTTGTGTCAACCCCCCGAGCCGTACACCTTTGGAAACCCAGAAGAATGGACCTCGTGGAAACGCCGCTTCGAACGATTTCGAGTCGTCAGTGGTCTCGCTGTGAAGCCAGGAACAGAACAGGTGAATGCTCTCATCTACTTCATGGGGACAAAGCGGATGATATCCTGCTGTCTCTCAGTTTACCTGAACAGCAAATGACAGACTACAGCGCCGTGCTCCAAGCCTTTGAGAACCACTTTGTCGTGAGACGGAACGTTGTTTATGAACGAGCCACTTTCCATCGGAGATGTCAAAGAAAAGGAGAGAATGTCGAAGAATTCATAACAGATCTGTCTGCACAAGCTTGCCAAGTTCTGCAACTTCGGTTCACTCCACGACGAAATGATTCGAGACAGTAGAGTGGTGGGACTTAAAGATCACAAGTTTTCTGAAAGACTGCAGTTTGATCCAGACTTGATGCTTGAAAAAGCAACAAACATGACGCGACAGTCTGAGGTTGTGAAAGACCAGCAGACCAGACTTTACACGTCCAGCGGAACCAACGTGGATCGCCTTTACGTATCAAAGAAGGCTCCTTCAAGAAAAGCCAATCGTGGAGGAAGGGTGGGCGAGAAGACGGTACCCAACTTTACTCAGTTTCAAGCACCGACTGGACACTGCGCACGTTTGGCAAGAGTCAGCATTCAGAAGAACAGTGTCCGGCACGAAAGGCGATTTGCAACAAATGTCGCATAATTGGACGTTACGCCCGCCAATGCCGAAACTCCGCAGCGCTGAACCAAGTTTCCAGCACAGAGACTGCATTTCTTGGAGTCATCGAAAGCGAAAACAGTCAACGGTGGACGGCGACAGTGCAAGTTGGCGAGGTGCCAATCGTCTTCAAGGTCGACACTGGCGCCGACGTGACAGTCATTCCGACAGAGACGTACAAAGCGTCTTTTTCAGCGACGTCCCTGCAGAGGCCCACGAAGATCCTGAAGGGTCCCGGTCGCCATGAACTAGACGTACTGGGAATGATCACGAAGGACATGACCTACAGAGCCAAGTCGACAAAAACGGACCTGTACGTTGTTAACGACTTGGATGAAGCTCTTCTTTCGAGAGAAGCCAGTGAGAAGCTGGGAATCGTCCAAAAGGTCTGCGATGTTGCGACTTTACGTACTGGAGACGTCAAGCCGGAAAGTGAGTTACCCAAACTTTTTTTTGGGCTGGGACACGTGAAAGAAGCTTACAAAATTGAGCTACGAGGTGACGCAGTTCCTTTTGCACTGATGACGCCTCGGAGAGTAGCCATTCCTTTGCTAGGCAAGACAAAGGAGAAGCTTGAGGAAATGGTCAAGATGCAAGTAATAGAACCCGTGGAAGAGCCAACAGAGTGGTGCTCTGGAATGGTTATAGTCGTAAAATCCAAGGGAGACGTGCGAATCTGCGTAGATTTTACCGAGCTAAACAAGTACTTGAAAAGAGAAGTGCATGTTTTGCCAATTGGAGAACACGTGCTGGGACAACTCGCTGGAGCGAAATACTTCTGTAAGATTAATGCCAACTCCGGATTTTGGCAGTTTGAACTAGCCGAAAAGTCTCAACATATGACGACCTTCATAACAACTTTTGGAAGGTTCAGGTTCCGGAGATTGCCCTTCGGCATCACATCAGCACCGGAGTTTTTCCCGAAAAAGATGACACAGTTTCTCGAAGGTCTGCAAGGAGTCCTGTGCAACATGGACGACGTCGTTATCTACGGAAGCACTCCAGAACAGCATCATGAGAGGCTTCGTAATGTTCTCCAACGACTCCAGGACAGGGGAATGACCCTAAACGCAGATAAATGTTAATTTTTCGTTAAGCAAGTTAAGTTCCTTGGAAACATTATCGACCAGGAGGGTATCCGACCAGACCCAAACAAGATCAGAGCAATTGTCGATATGAAAGTGCCGTCAAATCTGTCTGAACTAAGAAGTTTCCTCGGAATGGTAAACTACCTAACCAAGTTCGTTGCAGGCATGTCAGAGATTGCCTACCCGCTAAACTGCCTACTAAGCACAAAAAACGAGTGGATCTGGACAAGCGAACAACAAAGAAGTTTCGACCAGTTGAAGAACGCATTGACAAGAAGTCCAGTGTTGGCACATTACGACCCAGGGAAGCGCACAATCATTTCGACTGATGCTTCATCGTATGGGCTAGGAGCGGTACTGCGCCAACAACAAGAAGATGGAACGTACCGACCCGTCGCCTATGCCTCAAGGACTTTGACTGAAACCGAAAGGAGGTATGCGCAAGTGAAGAAAGAAGGCCTGGGGGTCGTGTGGGCATGTGAAAGCTTCCAAGATTTTATAACCGGACTTCACGTCTTGATTGAAACAGATCACAAGCCCCTTGTGCCAATTTTCTCGTCAAAAAACTTAGCGGACATCACTCCACGACTTCAAAGGATGAAACTTCGGATGATGCGATTCTCACACGACATGTGACACGTTCCTGGAAAAGCCTTGATTACTGCCGATCTTCTCTCTCGGAAGCCTCTACAGGAGACAGGTCAAGGTGACTTTCAGGAGCAAATTGCATTGTATGTCAGTGGACTTACAGCATGCTTGCCGGGAACTGACCATAGGTTGAAAGAAATCCGAGAGAATCAAGTTGCAGATGTCACGTGCAGGACACTGGTCAAGTACATTGAAGAAGGCTGGCCGACACGGAATGGGGTTCAAACTGACTGCAGGGATTACTGGCCTCATAGGTCAGAAGTAGCTTTGCAAGACGGTCTCCTCATGAGAGGATCACGCATTATTATTCCTCAGTCAATGCGCAGTGACATCCTACAAAGACTTCATGAAGGACACCAAGGCATTACCAAGTGTAAGGCGCGTGCCCGACAGTCTGTATGGTGGCCTGAACTCTCCCGTCAAGTGGAACATGTGGCACGCACATGCACACAGTGCATCCAAGAAACACACAACCGACACGAACCACTGCTTCCATCAAAGTTTCCAGATCGACCATGGCAAAAAGTCGCAATGGACCTGTTTTACTTGGAAGGAAAAGACTACCTCCTCGTCACCGACTACTTTTCAAGGTTTCCAGAGATTGCACTTCTGAACAGTCTGACGGCGACTGCAATAATAACTCACTTGAAGTCTTTCTTTGCAAGACATGGAACACCTGAAGTAGTCTTTAGTGATAACGGACCACAATTCCGAAAAATACAAGGGTCGGAGTTCCAGAAGTTCGCCGAAAGTTGGGGTTTTGAACACAGAACATCCAGTCCACGTTACCCCCAAAGTAATGGCTTCGTGGAAGTTGCTGTTGGCATTATCAAACCTAGTTTGAAGAAAACTGGGGACAGCTACCTCGCGTTACAAGCCTACCGCTCGACACCGTTGGATAACGGCTACAGTCCAGCAGAGTTGCTGATGGGAAGGAGATTGCGTACTTCTCTACCAACGGCTGACTCCCTTCTTCAGCCAAGTCAGGTAGATAAAGAAGCCCTCAATCGTTGAGAAGAACGTAGGATCATGAATCAGAAGCATAACTATGACCGACGACACGGTGTCCACCGGCTTTAACCTTTGATGCCTGGGAATAGAGTGTGGATAACCGATCGACGCGAAACTGGAATAGTGCAGTCGTCGGTGGACACTCCAAGGTCCTACTCCGTCAACACACAGGATGGGAATCTCAGTCGGAACCGATTTCATCTCGTCCCGATTCCGACAGTGCCCAAATCACCTGACCTTCCACCGTAAGGTAGGATTGCGGAAAGAACACTAGAGCTGACCTATGGGACCCCACATTCCGATCACGTTCTGACCCGAAGTGGCCGAGTAGTCAAACCCATAGTACGCTTTAGCCCTTAGCTAAAAGGGGGAGATGTGCTAGGAGCTATAGTCATCGCGAGGCGTGAGCCGGAAAAGACGACGATGAAGAAAAGAAAGGGGCGCTCGATACAGATGATTAAATGGCTGATTCTAAACGGACGCTGGTTGAGTCCTGAGTTCCTGAGGCCCTGACAACACAGTCCTTTCGAGCAAAAAATACGCGTTTTGCAGACGCTGCTCGTCGGTCCAGTCATTGTGGCGGGCGACACGTTCGTACTGGTCAATCCGATCCTCGACGTCTTCGTAGAGTTCACCGTGGAAGGGGGCAGCCGCCCGCGGTGCGACGGGCATGAAGATGACGGGAGAAGCGGCGGGGGCTTCTGACTGGTTGGCCATCGTTGCCTTCTTCGGCTTGGGCTTGTCCAGCGGCAAACCATACTCAGGAACCTCTCCCTCAGTGCGGCGGCTAGTCCGAGTTTCAGGTTCCGCGTTGAGTGGTCTTCTCACCGAGCCGGGAATCGGACTTGCACTGCGGGCCCTTGGAGGGGAACGCTGCACGGGCATGCGGTACCTCGCACCTCCACCAAAATGTCACGAATGTCAAGGGAAAAAACGGCGAATGACTGAGTAAACTGAACTTTTAATGAAGCGAACTTGTGCCGAGAAATACAAGAAAAAAAAGAAAGATAACAACAAAGCGTCGCGGGCGTCGAAGGGCGAAGCAGCGGGATCGAACGCTGAGGCGAAACTGACTCCGGCTTACCACGCGGAGCCGCTTTTGTGCACGCGTGGGCTTCTGGAGCATTCGGCGTAGAAGGTTCGGCGCGTAGAACAATCTAACCTTGAATCAGCAAGACGGTTCTCGAATTCACCAGAACATCTCATTACAGTGCAAATAAAAATGTGTAGCCGCGGCCAGGAATCGAACCCTGGCCTTCTGCGGGGAAGGCGAGCGCGATAACCGTTAGGCCATGTGTGTGTTTGGTCAGCTGCGCTCGTTGCAATATTGTACAACAATCATATAAAACATTTCAGCATCATCGAAATAGTTTCGCGGATTTAAAATTGAAAATAGGACATCAGGAACAGGTATAGAGCGTAAAGTCCCGTAGAACGCGCTTTCAGGGGATTCAGAATAACGGCAAGAGATCGTTAAGGCATCTCTCTCCATTTCGCTTCACCTTACTACGAACCGCCGAGGACGCTGCGAGCCACCGAAGCGAAATCCAAGATCATGTGAGTGTCACGTGACCTTAGGGAGGTGCGCAGTCACGCTCGAGGGGCGCGGCCACTGACACGATTACCGCACCGAATTCACTGGAATGATTCCTAGCGTTCGCTGCGGTCTATCGTAAGGGGAAACGAGGTACAGAGTCATTATTTAGTTTCTCTCTCTCTCGCTAATAAAGCCCGAATCTTTAAATATTCCCAGCTGTATAAAGATAAATGCCACACTCAGCTCAAAGATTGATGTGGAAGTCTGTAAGAAATTTATCTAAAGGGGGGAACCATGAAATTATTTTTCAATAGTTCCCTCGTTAGCTTCAATCCTTAGGTGAAGAGGGAAATGAGAAATCACGTGGCCGTGACATGCTTAGGCAGCGGATGCGATGGCTCTAAGCTTAAACTGTGCTTTCGAAGTGCACCACAAAACTTGTCATTTTTAAGTTATGGGAAGTGTTGTCCCGCTGCTGTTATTGACCCTGAACGCGAATAAAAATGCTTGTCGACGGATTGATTGTTGACGTAGTGCACGTGTGACGTAGTGCTCATGTCCATTGAGTAAACTGGACTGAGCTGGCGTGTCTGGACACAGCAGATGCGTCACAGCGTAAAGGCGGAAAGCGTTTCAAAAGCGTTGAAATTTTTTATTTCATTGAGAGACGTGTTAGAAGTTTTTGAAGATTTCGAATTTCTTCGGTGTGCAAGTTTCAGAAGTTCAAGAAGCTCATAATTTAAGTTTAAAATATGAATATCACCGGCGAAAATTGACCTACGCATTTTCAAAAAGAAAAAAAAAAAGTTTTCAGGGATGCATTTAAAAACGTCGCGAAATGGTTTGCACACTGTGGTGAAGACACTGCACTTTTTTCTTTTGCTTTAATTATTTTTTTGTACTGTGGTACTCATGATGGTACTTGTGCTATTCGTTATTTATCGTAACTTTTGAAAAAAAAAAGCTTTGAAATGGTTGATCCGTTGATCAAATAACCCAGAACGCACATGTTCTGCTTGCAATGCTGGCAGATAAGAATATATAGAAGACAAGGTCTGGCGGAAAAAAAATTATTCACCCTCCTGAAAATGCTTAGTTTCTCTGGGTGCTCGTTTTCGTTGGGATGACCCGTGAGATAAAGGAAACAATGGATACAGTAACAGCAACGGACACAGTTTCAGGTTTAGGAGAACGTAACCAAACTTAAGAGACGCCCCGACACCTCGAAACGCGGCTAATAAGGTCACGACTCGAAGACATCGGGCTCACTGTACTGCCGATGCATAGAATTTTTATTTTTTAATGAGTGAAGATATAGATATTGGCCCCTCTAAAATGCAGCCGGTTCCTATTGATAATAGAAGTTCTTATCAGCGCTCGCCCTGTAGCGCGCCTGCGACGCGCTCCGCGAGGGCCATTCCCCAACCCGTGGCTTACTGCAGGGAATCAAGGCACTTACGTTCGCAGACAACTAAGCTAGGTTATGACCAGTGTTGGAAAGTGCATAGAGTACATTGTAATTAAAGCGCTAATTTAAGTACGCTTAGAAAACTCGTACTTGGATCACATTATCTGACTGTGTAGTTGTACATTACGTGAAGTATTTTTGTCTTGTACTCTCCGAGAAAATTGGAACTCACGACTTCAGTGTTAAATTTGAAAAATTTGATGTTGTTCAATTTTAATAAAAAATGGGTGCTTTTCCAGCTCTAAAATTTTTTTGAGATTTCTTTCTGGTTAGATACTCGAGCAGACGATGCATAGTTCCGTCTGTACTGGGGGCGGCTTTCCCGCAGTATTTTGAACTCTGGCTACTTATTGATTGGTAAGCGCAGGTGAGGAGCTTAAAAGTAATATTAGAGAACATCCCTTCACAATAGGGCTGTTTGCGGAAACTAGAGATCCGTCGTCATGTTCCCTTCTAGTACGTTTATCTCCTTTGCGTGCAAGTCAGTGAAAGAGGCACCAAATTCAGAAGCCGCAGGTAGAATTGTGAGCATGGGGAACACTCGCAATGTTCACGGCACTTTCGAGGTAGAGTGCAACGCATGCGATGTCTTCTTTACACACAATAAATTACCTGCGGTTATTGATGGTGTATGGTATGAGATTGCAGGATCGGATGGCAACAAGTTTTATGCTATATGTAAGCTGTGTCCACCTGGTAAACGGCCTCTTAGTTTTGAATGCGATGCAATATCGAATCTTGCGAAGCACCTAAAGGTGAGTATGGGAAGTAATGGCAAAAACGAGCCTCATAAGTTGATTGTTAAATATTTTGTCAGCAGGAGTAAAGCAACTACTCTGCGGCCACTTGACTTTATCCAATATTTGACTCCATTTTAGAAAATAGCGGATGCACCTCGCCCTTCAATGCACACAGCTAAAAAAAGTCACTAAACAGAGGAACGAGAAAGCATGAAGAAGTATTGTCTTTGAAGTACTGAAACTTTACTTTGAAAGATGACCCTACTTTAGTACCCTACTTGAGGTACATTGCGCCCGCTAAACTCACAACTTTACTTGAAGTATATAACTTCTACTATACTTATACTCTACTTCAAAAACTTTTAGCGGTACTTTACCCAACACTGGTTATGAGGAACGTCCCATGGAAGCGAATTGGTTGAATTTCAAGTATGCAGATTACGCACTGTTCGGACCGTCGGTTATTACCTCGGGGGGGGGGGGGGGGTAGTAACCTACGGAGTTGTGTTGGGGGATGCTCTAGGAACGACACACGAGTCCAAGACCACCTCAAAGCGATCGCTGAAGTCTTTAAAAGCAAATTAATACTTTGAATTCAGCTAGTTGGTTTGGAATGATTTAAAAGCTGAAAAACAAAGAAGGCATAAAGAAAACAAAACATTGATTTTAAAGCTTAAAAGAGCAAAACGAGTCACTGGTGGCACGGTAGGTTAAATGAAACTTGAGTTCAATTTATATTCCACTCCACACATTCTTATTTTGGTTTACTTATATTTTTTGCCTTGAACTTTTCAGGGTAAACCTTGTTCGTACTTGGTCGATCTTTTGCTCAGAAGTTCAAAGTACTTCAAAAGTTGAAACTTAGCAGGTTCGACAGTTCGGCAGTCGTCAGTTTTTTTTTTTTAAATGATAATAATGAAAACACAGTGAGGGCGCAGGTGAGTTAGGGTAAGTTCAACATTATGTAAAACCACCTGAGTCTGGTTGAGAAAAAGACCTTGAAAAAAACCAAAAGTGGTAGAGACAGCGAAAGAAGTCAGTCAGACGACCTCTTATTTCAGACGTCGTCTGATTGACTTCTTCGCTGTCTTTTCTGCTTTTGGTTTCTTCGAGGTTTTTTTTTTACACCCAGTCTTGGGTGTTTTAATATAATGGTATGATAGTAATGAAAGTGTAAAGCTGTGGAACGTCCGCCGAAATCGAAATTTCGGAAGTCGTCAAATGTTTTTCCTGTAATAATATCGACATTTACAAACGCTTTCGAACCTTTTGAACCTCGGGTTCGAAAAAAGTTCGCGGCATCTCCAGGTCAGAAAATAAATTAAACTTTCGACGTTGCAATTTTTGCAGACAATGACCAACGTTGACATCGACGAGGATAAACCGAGCACGGACAAGGACACGGACAAGGCTGACCAAGAAAGGTGAGTGGCCGTGTATGCTTTAAACATCTTCATTTACGCATAGACAATTTTTGACGACTTTCTGTTTTCCCATATCCGGTCACCTCGTTGCCACAACGCTTTTCGGTTTCGGAAGGAGCGTATCGAATTTTTATGGGATGTTGCTCATCCTCAAATCATTTTAGGTGTTGCTGTTGAAAGATAAGTTTGTCCTAACGCTCGGCATTGTGTTTAGAAATGCTTTAGGCGATCGCGAGAAGTTGGAAATCAACTCTCACGAGGAATTTTTTTTTTTCGGGTCATGAACACGCTGCCGTCACCATTGCACATCGACGATGAAGGAATCTTCCAGTTTTCTCGCTAATGTTTATCCAAAATGATAGCAATTTATTCAAAGTGCCTACCAATTTCATCCAAGTGCCATCTAATGTAATCCCAGCGCTACCCAATTTAATCTCGTGGTTCCTCAACCGCAAAATACACATGCTCTTTTGTCTTCAGTGGTGTGTTTCGCTTTCACTTTTGATAACTAGACCAATTGTTCAACTTTATAAAATTATATTTTGTTTGGGTACAACTGATTTTTTTAGCACTATGTTAACCATTTGGAGTTACTAGCCGCATGACTCACGAGGCTCAATTGACATGGTGATTATTTTTTGTAACCTTGAGTTATTGTTGCGCAGTCGACATCATTATATCTGAATTAATGTTTCTTTTTACTCTATTATTTCTTCGAACTATTATGGAAACAACTCACAAGGTAAAAGTACAATTGCAGAAGGGTGTGTACTTGGGCTAGTTGGTTATTCATGAATAGGAGGTAAAAGCGCTAAAAAACGACGGACAAGTTGAAGAATGACGAACACCACAGAGCGCTAGCGCTCTGTGGTGTTCGTCATTCTTCAACTTGTCCGTCGTTTTTTAGCGCTTTTACCTCCTATTCATGTACAATTGCAATTTAATATTACTCTTTGAATTACCAAGCGTTAATATTCACATAGCTGCCATGATTAAATTTAGTTGCCGTATGGCTTCCACTTCTAACTACTCTATTAATAACAAAATTTACAAAGCAAAGTTCAACATTTTTTATTACTCTCTCGATGACTTTAGGGCATTATTAAAAAATATTGTTTCTTAGAAGCTCATTTGACCTTTAAATTACTCTTGGGTTAATGCAACTAAATTTATTTGCATCAAACATTATCATTGCTTAGTCGATTACTTTGAATTAATATTGACAAATGCGACTCATATAAGTTCATTTAACATTTCGATTATTTTTTTATTACTCTGTGTTACTAATCCCCCAATTGTAAATAAATTGACTTACTTAACTTGGTCGTTACTTATTTATTTTTACCTGATATTTTGTTCACACAATTGAGTTTATATCAGAAATGTTGACATTTTGACTACTTTGACTTACTAGTGACCTATTTGAAATTATGCTGGTGTAGTTGACATATGCCTCTCTTTTCATTACTTTGAGTTTTGTGTTTAGAAGCATTTTCAGGCCAGCTACCAATATGATCATTCCTACTAACTTTGGCTTACTATTGGCCCAATGAAGTTCAATTCGGCTTAATTGACATCATAATCACCCTTGTTATTACTTTAATCAAATTATCAACCAAATTATTTTTATGAGCTCAAGTCAAACCATTACTACAGTTTTGTACTTTAGTTCGATGTAATTGACATCTTGAGGACTTTTGATTGTTTTAAGGCTATATTCAACCAATTGATTTGTAATGAGCTCAGTTAATGTTATGATTACTTTTTTGATTATTTAAGGTAGTATTAACTGAATAGACTTTATGTCAACATAATGTACATATGGGCCTTATTGACATTATAATTATACTTTTGATTATTTGAGTTACAATCGTGCCAATGGGCTTTAATTTAAAATGACTGACATTTTGGTGGCTCTTTTGTTTACTTGGTGTTATTATACCACCAATATATGTGTTGCGTGCTCAGTTCTTGTTATTATTACTTTGTTGATTACTTCGAACTACCCTTGACCAAGGTGTAGTACGGTTTCTCCTAATTAATATTTTAGCGATTCTTTTGGCTCGTTGGAGTTAATGTTCAACTAAATAAATTTACTATGATATAATGCACATTACGATTCCTATTTTGATTTATTTTTATTCTTATTGACCCAAACGACTGTGATTCCGCCTAATTGACCTTCTGCTTAATGTATTGATTGCGTGTTATTACACCTTCAATGCATCTATTATGAGCTCAATTCGCATTATTATTTATCTTTCAATTACTTCGGATTACTTTAGACCCAATGGACCTGAAATTGGTCTGAGGAGTTTCTCTGCACGAGCTGTCGTGAGGTTGACCCAACATAGAGCACCGGCGACAGTTTGGAAAGCGCACGGAAACACGTTGTCTTGTCGCAACAACAAAGACTTGTTCGACACGTTGGCAGAGCTGATGGACGTAGCCTTGGTACGTTTTCAGGGTTTGGAAGGCTTGCGGCATGATAGAGGCATCGCTGCCGACTGCGTGGTTGTGGCGGTGATATTGGAGGTGGACTGGGCGGAGGCTTTTATGACCGCGGCAGCAAAACCGGCCAGTCCAGCAAGCTTGAAGAGCGCGGCTGCTCCAAACTGCACATCTTCTCACAGTCTCTATGAGGAACAGTTCTTGGAGCAGAACATCGAAGATGGTGTTACCACGCATCCCGAGAAGCTATGCCATTCGACGCACCAACTGTGAAAGACTTCAATTTCCGAGTTCCTCTGCTAAGAGTAGTTGCTGGTAGCTGAAAAGTTTGGAAGCTTCGGTCTTTGCAACAGAGGCGCCTTCATTTGGGCGTAGGGAATCGTAAGTAAAGGGTTGGACAGCGCGTGGTATACTTCATCGTCTGCAGTTGCGAAGAGGTTGGAGACGACGTCGCGGAACGTCCGAGCCAGGTTTTCAGTGCCTGGCAGGTGGAACTGCGTATCTGCCTAAAAAAAAAACCTCGCGCGTTGCAGACACTGTGCGGCAGGAGCCGAACCGCAACGGCCGCGATTGGAGGTGGGGTCGAGGGCAGTGGTTAATCTTCCATGCTTGACTAACTGTCGGGGTCACCGCTTCTGGGGATAAAGAACCAAGCGTGGCCGATCGGTTGGTGTTTTTTGTGTTCTCTGTTTCTCGGGGCGCGTGTGTATTAGGCGCGCCGAGAACATTCACATTTATTTCATTTATCTGTCCAGAATACTGACTGCGGCTCGACCACCACAGTGGAAATCATGAGCCATGCCGTGGAGACGACCCGCATTGGCCGAAGGACACTCGCAAACCCGCGGAAACGTAATAACATAAAGTTACACTCACACCTTACACACGAAAAATAATAAGGCAAAATTCAAACAAACCGCGCTGACTGACAACTCTTTTTATATAACTTTGTCTTCTTCAACCTCTAGCACCACCGAATTTCCCAATTCACGCGCACCGATCTCCTAGATGCCTAAAAATGTTTTCTCTTTTTCTGTCAGGTGTAAAGATGGTGTACTTATACAGTTGTTATAGTTCCTGGCGATATGTTCTGCTTCGATAATTTCTCGAGTTAATTGGTTTCTGTTCCTGCCTAAAATTGTACAGGATGGCAAGTGAACGTCGCACCCACAATCCCGGCAGTGTATGCCTAGATGCCCTGAGTTGGCTCTGGAGCTGTTGTTGTTGTGTTCCCGGAGCCTATCGTTAAGGCATCGTCCGGTCTGACCAATGTACACTTTCCCGCACGAAAGGGGAAATGAGTACACCACTTCATCGGCACACTCAACGAACCTGTTCTGATGGTTTTTGGTGCAGCATACTGTTCGGTGGAAATCAGGTGAGTTGACTTGTTTACACAAGTTGCCAAGCTTATTGGGAGCAGTAAAGACGACAGTGATGTTGAACTTGTTTGCAATTTTCTTGATTCCATGGGAGAACCTGTGGAAGTATGGAAGCACGACAGGTCTCGTAGATCTTTCTCTGGCTCTTGGTGTGATATATGATGTACTTTTTGTTTTCAAGATGCTCTCAGCAACCGATGTTAATAATGACGTGGGATATCCGGCGGATGTTAATCTGGAAATTTGGGCATCGAAGCTTATTGAAATAGAATGCTCGCAAGATTTTTGAAGAGAGTTACTTAGACATAATTTGACGATTCCTCTTTTTACTAGCTTAGAATGTGCCGAATTGTACGGAAGAATTGGTTTTTTATTCCTTGGCTCGTATTTCCAGCATATATGAGTGTGTTGTAAATTGAGCCTGAGATCGAGGAATCGGATTGATCTTTCTTCCGGAAGCTCGTAAGTAATTTCCAGTGGTTTCAGGCAGTTTTTAAAAGTAGATAGAACACCGGCAATAGTGGTTGGAACATTACTGTTCTCGGCGTCAAGAATGATCAAATAATCATCGACGTACCGAAATATTCTAGCAACTCTGGTGGAGTCAAGCCAATTGTTCAAGAGTTTGTCTTGGTGGGCGAGATAGAGATCGCTTAGCACTGGGGCAATGCACGACCCAATGCAAACACCTTTCTTCTGTAGATACGTTTTTTCTTTCCAGGTAATAAAGGTGGAGTGTAGATAAACCGAGAGTAGATGTAGAAAATTGTCTTCGGAAATACCCGCAGAATTTTGGAACGCTATGCCACCAAAGGAATCAATACTCTCTTCTACACATCGCAAAAGACCGTCCTGGGGCAGTTCGTAGTACAGGTCTTTTATGTCGATGGAAAAAGCTTCTAGGTGATCATTACTCTGCTGTGACAGGAATTGGATGACCTCGTTGGAACTCTTAATTAAGAAAGGGTCGTCAATTGTTAGAAGGTTTAGCTTTTCTTTGAGAAAAAGGGCGAGTGATTTTTGCCAAGTTCCCTTTTCGGATACAATGACTCTGAAGGGATAACCGGGTTTATGGGTTTTGGCACTGAAAAATACACTGAGGCTTAGCAACTTGTTGCGATCGATGTGGGTGCAAAGACTTTTCAGTTCATACGACTGGCACAATTG